TTGTACACATTTACCACATTTTGCTATGACTATTCTCTGTTGCAAGACACTGGTAATTGACAGTTACTAAACATTTCTGTTACTGCACCTCTGTCCCATTTTATGTCTACATGAATGCTACTTTCTCTTCCATCTCCCATACCCATCCCACTCCTATTTTCCCCACACTGCTGCCCCCCTTTCCTTGCATCCCTCAACTTTAGTATTTATGAGGCTAAGTAAATCAGAAGTTATGATATCAAATGATCTAAATAAGGTGGTTGAAGATCTGTTTTTTAACCCTTTAACTCCCAGAAGTGATTAACACAAAACGTCTCTCTACAATATTCATACATTCTTCAGCAAACGGGTAATAAGAATATTCAAACTTATCAGGTAGAAGCTACTATCTTGATCTAGCACCACGTTCTCATAACTAATTTAAAAGGAAATGTGTAGCAGCTACAGAGGAGAATTAACAATCAGATCTCGGGAGTTATAGGGTTAAGTATTTCAACATCTTGATAATTTGATAAATATTTATCAAATATAAAAGTTGGGAATGAATTTACATCAAACTGCAGATAGCCAAAATTGAACTTCCTGTTGTCTTCTCTTAGCCTTTAATACATCAAACTGATAATATGTGAGAATTTATTTTCTAGCTCTCTTTAGAGTTTATTTGAGGACTAGAGAAAAGGTGGAAATAAAGAGTTCATTTTGCCGTTTGCCATTGCTGTAAATATCATGCATAAACTCTGTAATGTTCATAAACCCAAACAATACCATAAGATTATTCTTTTTTTTTTCTCCAGATGAGGTTAGGATTGATCATTGACTTGACAAACACAAATCGTTTTTATGACAAAACAGTAGTGGAACGGACAGGAATCAAGCATATCAAGATGCAGTTGAAAGGGTTTGTTCCATCTTTTGTTTGTCGAAATTGATTCACTTGATTTTTAGAATGTTATCTACTTGCATGTAATGTGTGTTGATTACTTTGTAGGCATGGGGAGACGCCCTCAAAAGAGCAAGTTGCTTTATTTATTAGAATGTGTGATCGTTACTTTGATCAAAACCCTGGGGAATTAATAGGTTTGTGGATCATTTTGTTCTTTAGTGCTCAGTTAATGATTATCTCATTCATGGTTTTCCAACTCCCAGAGCAGGCAATAGCTAGATTTAACCTTTTCCTTTACCATTATTGTTATGAGTAATTGTTTTTGTAAATATGAGCTTCTAGAAATCTCCAGACTGCATAGTTGTGCTGACATGCATATCATAGAACTTTCCAGAACATTTCATCAAGTCATGCACTTCATACATAATACTTCTAAAATAGCTCTTATGTAAGCTTCTGGAATGTTTCAGAACTCAATGTGAATATATTTAAAGACTAGCTTTTATAGAAGTAGTAGGAGTTGTTGTTGTTGGAGCGATGACTGTTTTGAAAGCTCTACAGAGAGAGAGTTTCTGCAGAAGATCACTTATTTCAAGGAACTTTGGAGACAGCAGTGAGATTGTGTTAGTGGTTAGTTAGGATATAGACTGTGGTGGGCTTAATTAAGTTTATTAATGATAAGTATTTTACTACTTTTAGGAGTTACTCCTTGCTAAGAATGTTACTCGCTGTTTAATAAAATGGTTGAATTTGTAGGATTATGGTGTTTTTCTGTTGCTTAGATCATACTATAATGTGTGTGAAGCCCTGATAGTCAAATAAATGATTAAAAAGAAAAACTTGTTGAATAAAGGGATAACTAATTGTCAAAATATATGCAAAATGTTTTTTCATGGAAAAGTGGTTAGATATAACCTGAATGAACTGGCTTTGTACCAGAAGGAACTAGTTATAAACAGTACTGCTGTCAAATACCCCACAAACTCAAATTTCATCTGCACATACACAAATACTTGGGTGTATTAACAATGCACATCTGACATGTCTCTTTTTCACAATGCAAAAAGTTTCCTATGTGTTACACTGTTGTGTAAAAGGGAGAACTTTTGACAAGTTGACGACAGAAAATTTACATATTGGAAAAAAAGGTCACTATGTTACTTGCACATGTTACAATACTTAGTGTATTTATGGAATAATGAACAGTAGCAGTTGATTTGCTCAATCTTTAGCTGTTGCTAAATCAGAAAAAAGAACTATTGTCAACCTAGCTAGCCATTTACGTAACTGTGAAATAAAAACAGAGCAATAAGCTCCAGTAGAATGACCCACACAACCCATGTTCAGACTCACCTAAAACTCCACATATACTAAAGGGGGTAAGTTTCTAATGAAACTGTCAGTGGGGAGGTATACAAGTTAATTTGGTAAAATTGTGAACTGAGTTGATAATATAAATTGGCCACGGAAAGAGTTTCAAAGCTGACATTTCCAGCATTTGCCCTTTGTCAGAGTAAGTTCCTTGTCATTCCCTCTGATAAAGGACTAGTGCTTTAAATGTCAGCTATGAAACTTTTTAAGGTGGCCAATTTATGTTATCAATTCAGTTTATAATTTACCAAATTATCTCATTAAAATTTCACATTTTCTGCATCTATTTTTCCTTCTGTAGGTGTTCACTGTACTCATGGCTTCAACAGAACTGGCTTCTTAATCATTGCATATCTTGTAGAAAAAGATGACTGGAGGTAATTGAGCCATAAAAATATTTTCTGACACCAGATTGGTTTGATAAAGCTTCTTTAAACATTTCGTTATTCATGTCATTGATTTATTCCGTGGTCAGTCGTGGGACTGAGAGTTTCCACCAGACCAATCACCTAAATCTATGGGTACATGTAGTCAATGCGATTTCAACCCTTAAACTCCCAAGATCTGATTGTTTTTTCTCCCCTCTTGCTGTTACACATATTCTTTTAAATTAGTTAGGAGAATTTGGCATCAGATCAAGATAACAACCTCTATTTGATAAGTTTGAGTATTCTTATTACTTTTTTGCTGGATGATGCATGGACAGTGTAGGGAGAAGTTACATGTTAATCACTTCTGGGAGTCAAAAATACTTTGGGCTAACTACATATTTTTTTCTGTGTTTTCACAGTATTGAGGCAGCTATTCACTGTTTTGCGCAGGTCTGTGGTTGAATTCAGTAATTAAATCAACTAATTAATATTTTACTAGTAATTAAAAGTTCAAATCTTGGACAAAGCTCTTGAGATAGTTTTTCAACCATCATGTCAATTTGTGCTTGCCCATTTCAAGACAAGACATTCCCCTACCCACCCCTCTCCTGTCAGTCAGTGCTGCATTCTTTCTGTTGGTTAGGTGTTTTACATTTAATTGCATAAGATCTCAAGCAACATTACATTAACGGAAGGGGGAAAATAAGCTTTTAGAGTTAAAATTGATACTAAGTTTTTTTTGTATGGGTTTGATATAAATTTCCTTAACAGGTTTTGCTGAAGGACTGTAGCAGATGATACATGATAAAAAAAATATTGAAATTGGCATCAACAATCTTATTTTTTTGTTTATTCTTCTTTCATTAACGTGTGCAGTGTCGCCCTCCAGGAATTTACAAAGCACACTATTTGCAAGACTTAGTTAAGCGGTACGGTGACTCAAATGAATCCATTGCTGCACCTGAGCTTCCTGATTGGTGTTATGACGAGGAGGAAGGACTTAGTGACAATGAGGAGGAAAATGGGAGGACTGTGGAAGATGGAAGTCACTCTGATGGGAGAAGGAAAAGGATGCGAAGGGATCCAAGATTGAAGGTCAATTTTTCTCTGAAGTCTTGTCTCTTTGTCATCATCATCATCATCATCATCATCACAGTCGTCATTGTTGTTGTTGCTAAAATATTATGGGGAATTACTACAGAATAATGTAGTTTAACAAATTAAATCCACGATTTGTGTTTACAGGAAGCAAAATTTATGGATGAGGTTGAGGGGATTGAGGTTGTGAATTCACCCAGAAGAGAAGATATCCAAGAGATATGCGAAAAAATGTGCGCTTGGGAAAGGTGAGAAATATTAAAATCTGAGGGAAAATATGCAGAGAAGAATTTTGCCAAACTTGATGATAAAAGGAATGATAGCTGTGAGGTCGAAGGAAAGAGTTTATAACTGTTAAACAAATTCTCCTTGTCAGTACTGCAGGAAATACATAGTATAGAAATTATGCACGCTGATGTTAATTTGAAAAGGGTGAAATTGTTCTTGTGGTCGTATAAAAAAAATTAACTTTCTTATAAGCTCGGGTTTGCTGCGTTTTGTTTGTTGAGCAAGGGACAAATGAATGCTCGACGCTTAAACAGTTCTTGCATTTTTTTTGTTTGTTCCCTTTATTTTAGTGGGGGATTCCCAGGAAGTCAACCAGTGTCCATGGATGTCCAGAATATTAAATTACTTCACGAAAAACCTTACAGAGTCAGTTGGAAAGCAGATGGCGTGAGGTGATTATTATTGAAAGCCTGTTTAGATTCGTCCTAAAGGAACTGCAAGTTCACCAGTTCGGATTTCTTATACTTCTTGCATGACATGATTTTTTTTCAATGTTAATTTTTGCGTGTTTCAGGCGAGTTGAATCAAGCGTGATAAGTGAGACCCGCGCGCCGTGTGTCTCCTTCCGAGCGCTCTTCTCGCGTTCAACGCCGATGACCTGAAAGACGCCAAAAGATTAGTCTGTTCTGCGGAAAATATGTTAACGTCCAGTGTTCTGGGCCATAAAAGCCTCTATCTTGACTTTACCTCTGGCCATTCACTATGCTCAACTGACCATCATCCGCTAGCCTGCAGAGCACTCGAGACTTTCAGTAAACGCCGAAAGCTCAGTATTTTCTCGGTGAAAATTATTCCTGCCATCTTTGATTTTTGGAGCAGCAGAGGGTTGCTGAGATAAAGACATTTGTGCCGAAAAAGTGAGCGACGGTCTAAAGGAAGGAGGGGGGAGTGGGTGGGGCAGTAGAAATCG